TAAAATTCTATTTTTATTCCATCGACCGGCTCACCTATTCCGCAACGGCGTGATACTTTCATAGAACAGTTCACATTCCCCATAAAATGCCTCGTTCGTTTCTCCGAACTGTTTAGCAAATGTTCCTCGCGCATCCCCGGTCGCTCATCACCGCAGTGATGTCCAAGACGTTCGGACGCAGTTAACAGAGTCGAATATTATACGAATTCTCTCGAATAAACATCGATCCAAGATGATTAGCCTAATAAATTTCAGTTAAACAAGATATCCTTTCGTTGCTAACATTTCAGTTTAGCTGGTGACAACACTCAAACTCGAGGACAAAAAATGTCACATAACATAACCTTCTCAGTACTGCAGACTTAGGAATTTCGACTTAACGATACTGCGCATTTAAATACACCGTTTCTTTATAATAAGTAGAATAACATACAGCTAAACCTGTGAACTAAATCCACCCTACTTTTCAATACGTTACTTAAACAAACGAATCTTTCGCAAACATATTTTAACAGTGGAACATACAATTGTAGAATACAAACAGTTTTCATACGGCCAACATTAAAACGCATTTACATCCCTCCAAAACAAACATTGAAAAAGCAACGCGTGCCAAACACTCACGAAAACAGCATTCCATTCCCAAAAGAGGACAAACTCGAAAACCCCGCACAACAAGAGCTCTCAACAAGACAGCTAAAGCAATCCCAGCGAAATGCATCGCGAAAGGAACAAGCCATCAAAATTCCTCCCCGATTTTCCCGTGGCCGTTATCTGCCGTCTCTTCCCCGAAATAAAATTTTACTAGACACCGACCGGCCACCTATCGCGGCGGAAGGAAGGCACGCGGGGTCCGAGAAAATACAACCGTGACACTGGCTAATCGGGCCGCAGGATCGAGCAGCGGCGCGGCCTGTCGCGCACGGCGCGCGGCGATACGATGATCGAGAATTTATTATCTTGATCGGATAACCGGCCGCGGGTACGAACGGCCTAATTGCGGCAAGAAACATCTCCGAGCGGCGCGTTCGCGCCCGAGATAGAGGATCATCGGGGTGCTCTCCGTTGCTCCTCCTCTTGTCGTTTTACAGCCTCGAGCCGAGCGCCCGCTCGAAAACGGGGACACACGACGCGCGCGCGTAGGCAGGGTGTCGTAGGATACCAACGTGTGCGCACACGAGGTCACAGAACGGGTTTCAGGAAAAATCGACGCGCGATCCTGAGATCCGACGACACGCTATCCTGCATCTCCTGACCGCCGCGCCGCGCCGCGCAACCGGCCGATCGCCACGATCCGTCGAACACCATTAGAGATTCCATTAACCGCGTTTCCTCGAGACGAAAATCCGTGTCTTGCGGATCTACGTCGGATAGTAGACGTTTCATGGCTGAGCCGGACCGGGCCGGGCCGAGCTGGGCCGGTTCTATCTCGAGAAATCGGCGGGGCGCATCGTTCTACGGAATGTAACTGATAAGACTCGCTCTTGTAATGTCTAATTAATATGTAATTAGTTGTCCCGTGGGAAAGGAACGAGACGCGGCTTGTTATTATCATAGGTCTCGGACTTTTATGTTGACTTTTTGGAGTCTGATTTATGGATAGAGGAAATGTTCGTCGGATAAGGTATGGGAATGGAATTGTATCGTTTAAAATTGGAAGAATTGTTGGTTGCGGGTTTTGAGATACAGAAGGAGTTGCTTTAGTTTGAGGTAATATTTTTAGTGAATGATAATGAATGTGTAATAATAATCTCCGTATAGTAATATGAAATATTATTTCTTTCGATATTAACGATATGGAATGTTAACACGTTCACAGTCACGATGGTCAGCGATAACCGGAGCTGCCAAATGATTTAAAGACAATTATAATCCGTAAGATAACTAACATCGAATAAAAATACTCAATGGCGTAAATAACTATATAATAGTGTAACGTAAGAGTTGTACCAAATAATTGACAATTATTCCTCTTTATCTTTGCTAGGAGAAAGATAAATAATATATAAAACGCTGAAGTTTCTCATGGCGGTCGACGCGTCAATATCAATAGTATTGGTATTACTAAAATTGATATTATTAACGATAATAGAAAGTACATAACAATTTATCACATGAATATATCAGAAATTTATTATTTTCTAAAGGACCATGCAACTTTCCTGAAACGAACGCGTCGATTAATCGCAGCGCAAGCAACATTTAACAGCGTTAACTCAGCGCCAGGCCAATAAGGAACAAGTTAAGGACTCGCGTGACAAGTTTCGTAGTTCGGAACGTTCGGTTTTTGCCCGGTAACGTTGATGCGTCTCGCAACATAATAAATTCTCTTCGGTGAAACGAACTCTTCCCGGTTCTGCGGGCGCGCTGCGCTGTAAGTCGGCCCTCTTCCGCCAACAAATTGATCAACTGCAGCGTTATCGACATTAACAGTTCTCGTCGTACTTCTAACGATAACGTACCCTTGTTTAAGGGGCAGTAAACTCGAGGTTTGATCATCCGGGAGATCCCGGGCCGACAGTTTTAACACTGGCCAGTAATCGCCGTTATAAAGTTATACGAACGGTTAAAGGTGAGGCTGGTTTGCCTTTCACGTGGCACCGGGGGAAGACGGTCGGCCGGGTAGCATGGAACACGTGGTTTTCATTCCTGACTCTCCCATCGCTCGATCTCCTCGCTTGGAAAGAAGTGGAGGCGCGCGTTGTTATTAGTTTTAATTATTCCTCCCCACGAAACTGTTATCCCTTGTCAAGTGAGAAGCTTAAATATACTCGACTCGTATCTCCGATGATACACGCTTCTGTTTACAGTTAGCCGTAACGCTTTTAATTAAAAATTATTTAATAGGAGAATTGCTTTTCGATGGGAGTTATGTTCTCGAGCGCGTATTAAACAGAACATTGTGTATGTAAAATTTAATAGTTCTGGTAGGCTAACGAGATATTAATACCCAATTTCATGCGTATCGCACATATTTTTAATAATATCTTTGTATTATAAATTTCGACACTACACACTGTTTTAGTGTCTCCAATTATCAAATACAAAGTATTGGTAGTTTATTATAGTTCAATGCTGATTAGGTTTGCATTTCGAAACAACATCTATTCACGAATCAAGTAATATCCTTTATTTTTTCACGTGTCTACGCATCAACTCGTATAATCCCATATTCACTACGCGTTCAGTAACGATTTCAAAATATACATAACCTAACGAGCAATCGATACCTCCGAGTCACATACAGTAAACGATTAAAAAGACTTTTCAGGCACTATTTATCGAAGCATTACTCACGATCTTTCATCGAAATTTCCCCACGACACGGTAGATTTTCACGAGGGAAAATTCCAGTCGCGAGTCACGGTAGTCAAAAGGCCAGATATAAATCAGCGGTGGCATCTTAGATAATGATAGGCATGCGCGATGCTCATACGCGGCGACCACGACAGCTGATATATTGTTTGGAGGCCCCAGAAGGTAGCAGTTAAAATTCTTGGTGAATGATAATCCAGCTCGGCTGTTCGGCTAGGCCGAAGCGCGCACGATTTCCGGCCGTTCCGTATCGTTACGGTAACGTTACCGAAGCGATCATCGATCAGAGGAATAACCACGTATCCCTGCCTTCCCTTTCTTCTCGTCGCACATTGTTGCACCAGAATCGATACTGGTCCAAGAACGAGCCGCGACGCCGCGCCGGAACGTTTCGCGTCGCTTCGTTAGCATCAGAACGATAATTTCAGGCGGTTACATTTTATTGTCGCTAATAACCCGACCGGTCGAGCGGTGAACCCTGGACAGACTCTTTCGTTCTTTTTTCTTTCAAAAAGAGGAAAAAGAATGGAAAAAAAAGCTGAATCGCAACGGAAGATTGGACCGTTTCGCTGACTCTCCCGGGTGACCATTACCTTGGATTGCGCGGCGGTATTACGTTATAGCATCCGAGAAATGGGATCCAGGAGCTTAAAAAAGTTATAACACTGACGCGCCGCGATTCCCAAGAGCTTAGTCCAGGTATTTCCACGGACATGATTCGTTCGAATTGGAGACGATCGTCTCTTTCTTCTCGTGATTTCTTTGTCCCGCTCACGGGTGTCTCGGCTAAGTTGGACATTGAAATTATTACATCTGAACTCCGGATGCGAGTCTGTAATAATTGGGAAAGAATCCCTCTGTCGCTATGAACGTCCTTTCATGATTATCGTTATTCTTCTTTCGCATTAACGTTTAGATTCTATGATTCGACGACGGTCCGGTGAATCTTGGATAATGTCAATGGTATCGTGGTGTCGGAAGCTTCGTATAATCTTGAAACGTTCTAGTTATTTTTTACTTTAATTAGAAGTATCTGGATATAATTATCGAGAGAGAAGTTGCGCACGTAATTAAATAGTATAGTAATATAATTTTACTTCTAGAGAATTTTCTAAGTATGTAAGATTATATTGTATCGAAGTCACACGAAAAAAAGGTATTAAATCATAGCAATTTAAGTGATGGATTGACAGATACTATTACATATGCGTACACTTATCATTTCGCTGTGTATGTATTAAACTTTTTTTGTGAAATGCATTATAATTATACTTGATTAAATGCGAAATTTGATTAATCTTCCTGGATACTAAAGCGATTTAATCGAACTCTTCAACGTTTCGCACCATGGATTTCTTTCTTCACGAACAGAAAATTGAATCATTAAACAATCTTTCATCCGAACTCATTATAGGATCGTTCATAGAAATATTACAGCAATAAAATCACTACGATAAACTGACGTACGCGATGTTCAAGCAGCGTTAAACTATTCGCACCAATCGTACGAAAATTGTCTTGGGCGATCGTACGTCGGCGTGTAAATTACGAACGATTATAATGATTACAGGTGGCGCAGCCACGTTCTCACCTGGCGACCAATTTGCCGGAAATGAGCGGATTTTTATTCTTTATTTTACAGTAATAACGAACGTGTAGGTGACAAAATGACTTCTTAACGGACCTCAAGGCCCGTTATTTTCTTCATACTCTGAATTGCAAATCACGCAGAGAGTAAAATATTTCTTTGCGCTATCTCCGAACACTTCGCAAAATAATCAACTTCAAAATAATCGATCATACCACCGCGGCGCGCCGTGCGAAGTTAAAGCACTACAAAGTCTTCAATGAACACACTGCAATACTTGAATTAGCATAGCCCTTAAAATCATACATACCTGTTACAATTTTAAATGATACAATTGTTAAACTCTAAAATAATAACGATACAACGCACATTAGGAATAAAAGAAAACCATAAATATCCACGAGACTACATTAATATTATCCAATACACAAATGTATACACGCAAAACAGATAAGATATAACACGGAAACAAATCACCATCAACGAGGAAACAGATAAATCAGAGACAGTCGATCACAGTTCCTTCTATTGCTCACGCACAACACGATAAGGAACACCCAGAGCAATTCATTATTCCATCTGAATAAAAAAAGAAAAGAAAGAAATAACCATCTAAATCCACAAAAGGAATCGAAAAGGAGTCAAAGCTCAAGTGATCATCGTTCAAGCAAAAAGTTCACTTACCATTCACAATCGAGATTCCCCTCTCATTTCTCATTCCTCGCTCAAACAAAAATCCGCGCGGCTCCTGATCCCGAAGCATCCGGTCGTAACAGGAACGCGATATCTGAATCAGCGATCCGGTCGCCGGATCGTCCGGTTCGTTGAGGACTCTCGCAGCGCCATTCACGTCGGGCCGCGGTTCAAAAAGGCGGCGCGGCGTGCCGGTGAAGCCGCGAAATACGAACGTCTCGAACCTGTTTTCTAATCCAACGGAACCGCCGCGTTGCGCCGCCCCGTTCTCTTCTCCCTTATCTGTCGCTGTCAGCTTCTGCGGGAGTGGGAAATGGTAGCGGATAAGCAAAAGGTAGCGAGAGGGATGGGAGGGGGGGCACTGCGAGAGCCCGGCCGCCTAGGCACGCCACGTCCGATGTAATAATATATAGTCGGTCGAGTAAAACAGCTGTTACACGGATAAATTTGCCGGCCCCGCGCGGCCGTTTATTGAGTTCCCTCGCTTGTCCCGCTCGCGCGTATGTTTATGCGCTTACCGCGACTCGCAGCTAGCTTTAATCCAGATCTTTATTGCCTCCCGCGAAGAGCCCGGGCCTGCCGCGTACCGACTCGTTTAGAGGATATCCGCGACCCTTTCTCAAGCTCCTACAGACGCTGAAGCAAATTGCGATGCATCCTAGGTTTAGTGAAACCTGCATCGCGTCAGCCTCCACATGATTCTTCCCTGTTTGTCGTGTAGCATCTGTTGCCTCTCGTGTTGATCCGCTGACGCCAAAGTACTTTGCTGGTGAGTTGCCACTTAAACAGAATGTGGGTGTAATTGGATGTAGAGGAATGAGTCTTGTCACATGTGTTTTTGGCAGTAATGTGTTATTTATTAGTGTAATCTGTTAGTTAATCAGTACTATAACTGGAACTTCGCGAGATATGTTACTTGACCCTGTGACTGTCCCGAGTATCAATCCTCTAGCAACGAGTTCTGTCCGCTTCTCACGTGTTGACTACCTACAGTTAGGTCACTTGATGGCTAGGCTGAAAAATGCAGGTCCAATTGGTCAATTTTTATCTATTCTGATTTACCGCTTGTCAATGCTGTTACATGTAACCAATTAAGACTGTAAACAAAATTCTCAACGAATTCTCCCTATACTATCTCACTAGACGTCAAACACTTCTCAAAGCTACAAACTATGCACAGGAACAAAAGGAATTATCCTCTCGCTCAACTTTTTCAAGGAACACAGTGAACAGTGGGGATACTATGTTCACGGGATTCCATAAACATAAGAAAACCGTAGAATAGAATCTTACGCGAATGTTCAGTTTCTATCGTTACATCTCACTTTTTCGTATTTCGTCGTGTATCATAAAACCTGATAGTCGATACGTGTACCGCGACGTGCTTCAACGTGTGCAAGTAGCTTCAGGTGGCTGCGGAAATTCCTTAAAAATCTGGCCCTCCGCCCCGTGACGGAAGGATTTGCGAACGCTCGCGCGACTACGAGAGCCCCTCTTTATGGGGATCCGTTCTCCGCGCGGCGCGGTTACGGCCGGTACTGGTTCGCAGGACGTAAGCTGACCGGGGAATTTATCGACGGGATATCCTGAGTCCTTCCCGAAGGTTTATTTAAATTGTACCCTACGCGCTAGATCCTCGTCTGCATAGGAACGATAAGTATCTTCGAGGTTCAAGGATGAATTGATTTGATTGGCGGATACTTGGGCTGTTGGCTTGATGGACGAGATATACGGAATTGTTTGTGGATTGGGGAAAAGATTCTTTTGGTTCTTGCGAGTGCCGTGTGTGTAAGGTTTACAATGAAATGGTTCGAAGAAATGTTTACTCGAAGCATCCGAGGATGTGTATGGTAATAATCATTTATGACTTATGGTTCGTAGTCCTTCGGATTAGGTATAACGTTTGACAACTATTCCTTTTCCTTGTTTTACCATTGCATTCGTGAGATTTAGTTTTTGTAGTTTGTTAGAAAAGAAAAGTAAAATATTGCTATCAGGAGAATTAGGGATAATCAATGTTTCACCATAAAAAAAATAAAACCTATGTTTACTGTAAGCCTACGTTTAAGACACTATTAGATACTGATAAGAAAAAAAAATAGTACTTCACTTCGAGTCTACTGAAATGAATAATGTCTATTGTTATTTGTTATTTTCTAATTACAATTTTCCTTAACGTTGTATTAGTATTGTTATCTCGAGCACGAAGGAACGAAATATTGTTTTTCATAGTTCGTCCGGACACAGATGGTAAAAACAGTCTTCCAGTGTAATACAATTACTGCTCGAATTTATATTGTAAGAAAACTTAACGATACGACATAAGCTTCATTAGTCCCTCCGTTCACAAGTAAAAACGTTTAATGCTGCCGGCTCGGGAGTTTCTCGTCGATAGGAGTGAACGATTGAAGATCCCACACGCCAATTATAGTTAAGGGAATACGATACGCGTTTAAAGTGCACAGTTCCTCACCCACAAATCGCGTTTTACCACGGAATAACAGCGGCGCCACGATCACCGGCTAAATGCGCCTTCGAACCACCGAAGGATACACGGTGTCTACGAGCGGAAGATAATAAACGCCGGTAACAGTACCATAAAAGTTTTTCCAGTCGTCCGTTTTCTTCACCATCCGGGAACGACGTTACACCGCCGCACCGCGCCGGTCTCTGTATTCGTTTCGTTACGCCGCGCCTCCATCGTCGTTGAAACACGATTCGCCCGAGTTTTCGCGTTCTTCTGGCTGCGGTGCATAATGCAACCGTTCGGTTCAATTATCTCTTCTTTCTACTCGTCATCCTCGACTCAGCCAGAATCTTTACGTATCGTAGATTTTTACTTGAATTTTTATTCTACTGGCAGTCTTTTTATTTGATTCTTATTTGAAATCATTTTACAGAGGTTTTGCAGAACTATTTGTCGATTAGACGAAACATAGGATATACAATACTACTTAAAAATTATTACAGTTGTAATTTATTCTGTAATAGTTATTACTTTTAAAAATTTGATAATAAGAAATTGATAAATCACTTTCGACGCGAGTAAAACTTTCAATATATGCTTCGAAACCAGAGGAATTCAATTTTTTGTATCTTGACAGATGAATCTTTCATACGTCTACACTTAATCTGAACATCGAATACCGATAACGGGGAGATGATATTGCATTTCGACTGGCGATGAAATTAACAATATTCACATTTATTTAATTGGGAATTTGAAACCTCCGCCGTGAGACTCAGTAAATATTATAAGGCAAGGAATTAAAAGAGACATGAAAGAATTTCGCATACTTAACTTACATACATAATTCCGTTTAATTTGTTTGACACTGGAACGAAACGAACTTCGAGATTAAGTTGATTATGGAACATAAGTATATCGCGCAACTTATATCATTTATTCGAAACGTAACCAGTACAATTAGTACATGATGAAATTCGACGGTAATGGAGATAACGAGAATTAAAAATTGAACGTTAAGTGGCAACGGTATGACGATATGCAAATCTTTGGGAAGAAAATTGATCCTTATGAATATTCGTCGTTGAAAGTTGCACGAATGAACCAACCGAATGGCCTTTATCTTTGTCACTTAACGTTCCATTATACAAGCGTATCTAATTAACCGACGATACCGAAGAAACAGAATTTCTTCGCTATGTCGAGACACATTAAAGTAACAATCAATTTACTCTTTTCATACTAAAAACATAAGCAGATCTACTTAAATGAATTATGAAATGTAAGTGGCTGAAGTTCTGAAATTAAAAGCCTTAAAATTCTCGGTAGATAATTCTTCACCATTTATCACCATTTATCCATTGCTTACATTATAGAACACTTCTACTAATCCACGACAAACACAATCAGAATAATTCTTCAATAATCTGTATATAATGGAATTAGAGGAACATCTCCATACTGTACTAGAAAACCTATAATCTTTCAAATAAGATACACAATTTAAATAAATTTCACTAGATTTCACGAATCTCTATTCTTACCGCGATCCCAGGTCACAATTAATTCTTCGCGTATTCTAAAAATCTCTTAAAAGTTTCAATGCTCAAAAATAACCGACCATTATCTTCCGTGAGGAGACGCGTCGTATAGGCTCGCACACCTACCCGAGAGGCAAATTCGTTGCCGCAAACACAGTTCGAAATTCGCACCTATCCGAAATTTGCATCAGCCATATTAGCGTGTTACAGGGAACATGGCGTCGCGGGAGACAGGCCGAGCATCGTCGTCGATTAGCGGTACGCGGTAAATCGGACGCAACGAATGCCTATCTGTCGTCCGTGTGCCACGCGCACTAGCGAAGGCCCAGCCGAAACGGGTCCTCACCGATAAACCGAAAATTGCTGCGTCGCCTTGGAAACAATTTGCCGGTCACTGTCGGCATGCAAGTACTTACCTATACGGTAACGAGCACGAAGTAAGACGCATACATTATGACTTTAATAATCCCGGGGGCCGATTTACATAGTAATTACTAAGTTTTCTGGCCCCGAAAATTGCCTCACCGGCGGACCCGTCAAAGAGTCGACGAGCAGCCGACAACGCGTCCGAATAATAAGCATGCGAACGGTACCGAAAGAAACGCCGAAGAAAATCAGTCGTTTACTGGAATGAGTCCGTTCAGTCCCTCGGACTAAACGAGTAACGAGTCGCCGGTGGCGATCGGTTTCCGACGAAACCGCTCGTCTAATTTCTTTGCAAATCGCGCGCGCCGACCGAGGAACACGGTAAAGGTTAGACGTTGTTAATGAACGCGGTACATCTTTGGTACAGGGTAGAGAGCGTCGAGGGTACGTAGGAAATGGAGTTTGAGAAATGGCACACGGTTTTCCCTCTGTAACGTCGCGTGAGGTCCTTTGCTGATACTTCGTAGTTAAAAACGAACTACAATAAATGGTGTAGAGTAACGGCGTCTAATGTGGAACAGCTCCTAATATGGAACACCACAATGTTTGGGAAAATAAATAGCTTGCTGTGTTAGTTACCATGGGAAACACTTCAGTAATATATTCATAGTTTGACATTAATTAAGAATTTGCCATTGAATACGAAGAATTATTGAGTTTAGTATTACGTTAAATTTTCTGAAAGACGAGTTAAGTGGTCAAGCTATTTAATATAAATGGGCCAACAAAATTTATTTGTGTACGATTTATCATTGAACATATTTATTTCTCATTATTCAAAAGCAATTTGCTACAAATTTATTTTCTTCTTAGAATGGTTATTAGTTTTCTGTCGGAATATGTGGTTCCTAATATGGAATACGTTCCATATTGGGTACACATTCTTTGTTAATGTTACCACCTTTATGTGGTATACACATTATGGTACAAGTTTCTCAAATCAATGTTCCATATTAAATACCGTTACCCTACATCTACACTCGCCCTCTGTAAGGTCTCGCTTCACTATTAACTGCTAACATACATAGTTACGAACAAACAAACGTAAGTGATAATCAGTTAACGAGACACCTGAAGAATGCGAGAAACGAATTGAAGCCGAAACTAACTTTTCGAATATTTTCGTAAATTTTTGTTGCGTGTGGTCGCGCATTAGCACGTAGCAAGAATTTTCTAGCGAATTTATACCACATTAAGAATGACGCGCTGACTACGAACTGCTCGCAATAATGGATGAGTTCCGAGTTTCTCTAGTTCCCCGATGCGTAAAAGCATCTAATGAAATATAATAAAAATGTACGGACATCAACCGTCTATATGAAAACCCGAGGAAAATCGCAGAAACTTTTTTGTTTACTTAATACCCACCGATTAGCTTACAAAGCTTTCGCATTCCTCGAAGACGAATTAAAATAGCTCGCCCAATAGTTCGTATCGGATATTTGCATAATTCAAGGGGGCAACGATATACGAGTCTACAAATCGCAGCAAGAATTTCGATCATCTGGCGGCCCGGTCAGAAAATGAGTCGAAGGAATGCAAATGGAATAAAAGATGCGGTAGAAGAAATGGAAACATAAAGGAACGGAAGGCACGGGATCGGAGTCGTTTCCGCGTCGAATAAATACAAAGTGCTCGCGGGACCGCGTCAACTAAATCCTACGTGGAACGTTGGATCAAGAAATCCGATCGCTGCCGTTGGAATGCGAAATATTTGAACTCTCGCGCTTCCGACGAAATGGTTCCGCGCGAGCGGGCCCTGGGCAGGAGTCCCGAGGTCCGGCCATTATTACGAAATTCCAGGCATCGCTCTCGAGCGCGTTATCTAGACGATCATGCGGCAGATCGCGGCGCGCGTTCAAATGGCCCTCTCTAATGACTCCAAGACTTACCCCGCTACAGTCACGAACCACAACGGTGATGTCCGAAGGAGCGATTACCACGACTTCACTTTTCATCAACTGTTTGACGCAATTGATATGCACTTACAGAAATTCTTAAAATTTCTTTTGGTATTCATTACTTGTATATCGATCATTGCATGAGATAATTAAAACTTGTCATTTCGGTAGGGTAGTTCTAGTATCAACACTATTAACACATTGTTGACCGGCCACGAGTTAACTCGTGCTTGTATTAGTTATTTCTATTTTTGAAGCGCAGAGTATCATAAAATATTGGAAAAGCGAAATATTCAAAGTTATATAAAACATATATCCAAAGTATCACATCAATTCATTATATATATATAAATAAAGTAAATTGAAGTTTATTTAGGTTATTTCACTTTCATATTTAATTACGGAATAATAACCGGCGACATGGTATAACTTCTGCGTAAAATTTCCAGTGAACAATATATTAATAGATTTCTCAATGACAGTGCTATTTCTATGTACAGTTATTGGAAACACCGGTATGTAGACGTTTCTCTGAGAAATGATTCAATAAATTGATTTATTAATGGTGTCTTAAAATACAAGCCTATCGTAATCTTAGTGAATATTCTCTTGTAATTTGTATAACAAAAAAAAATACAGACCAGTTGATTTAATTGCTTGGCAGTTCCAATGTTAACCGGTGAGGTTGTCTGGCACGTCACGGCGAGATTCCCGTTGCTCCCTCGGTCTGGTCCGATTATTTCGATTAGCCTTGAATGCCGGCCATTGTTTCGAGTGTTCGCGATCGGCGCGTATCGATGCTCCCCGAGCTTCATACACACGCGGATACAACCGTTAACCTTTTGCCGTCCTACTTCGATCTCGCCGTCTTCCAGCGAAGATGTGTATGTTGGATACATGACTCATAGATCTTCCTCTCTCGCCTCTTCTCCTCCCAACCCCGCAGAAATATGAAATATGAATCGCACGGTTTTGCTGTAGGTGAGTCTCGAAGCGATGTAAATTGCCGAGGCGCGAGGCGGCTTGTTAACACTTTCCCGGTGCACGGTGATACGCCGCGTGAGTTTGCGAATGAAACCGCGGTTTACCGTATTCGCCACGGAAGAGATTGTTCTTTTGTTTATTTTGCAACCCTCCTCCTGTAACGAGGTATTTATTATTTACCTTTATTATAGCTTGTTATTCTATTTCATAATTATTTCGAACTAATTATTCCATACGCTTTCGTAAAAGGGTTCATTTGCGTAAAGAAAGAATCAATGCGATTTTTCCTCGATTATGGAAAGGGAGAGAATAAACTACTTAATTTTCGATCACGTACCTACTTATAACTATTATTAACACATTGTTGACCGGTTACGAGTTAACTCGTGTTTTCATGTCGAAACGTTGTTTATCGGTCACGAGATAATCCGTGTTTGCACTTGCGTTACCCATTTGAATTTTTGAAACGCAGGGCAATATGGAATATTGCAGAAGCGAAATATTCAAAGTTATATAAAACATATGTCCAAAGTTTCATTTCAATTCATTGTGTATAAAGAAAGTATATTGAAGTTTACTTAGATTGTTTCACTTTCATATTTATTTACGGAACAATAACCGATGACATGGGATAGTTTCTGTGCAAAATTGCTGGTCAGCAATGTGTTAAAGCAAAATAACAGCATATCAATGAAGAACAACAAAAATTTCACAGTAAAATCTTAGACAGTTGAAAAATAAAGAAAAGAAAGGATGCACAACGATGATGATCTCATGCAGAGATTCATTTATTCGACATGGAATTCCATTTAGAAGTACATTAACAATTCCAAGTTGATAAGGGAAGGAACACACGATAAATATATTCATCCCGAAATCTCCTTTCGATTGACCCTAACGATATCATGTCAGTGAATTGAACGCTGGACTCGTAGCAGCAGCCCAAAGGCACCTGCGCGCATGTCGGCCTATACCCGTCGGCATGTTACGCAAAGTGGCTGCCCACGTTTCACCGCATTTATTTAAACATGAACTCTATTCCTCCCGTCGATTCGGTCCACGTGCACACGTCCGAGCGTGCCCGCCTCCGGACTCCGCTGTACGCTCGCGTGTTACATACATACGTGCGGTAACGCTCGAACAGTACACGGCTTAAATATTGCCGCTACACGGCAGGGCGTGGAACCTGTTACCGGTTCAAGTAGGCGGATTCGGTTCGGCTCCGCGGATCGAACGAGATCTCCAGCCGCGGACACTTCGAGACATTGTCTCGGCACGCGTGGGCGGAATGCGTGCCAGATCTTGTCGTTGGAATCGGGAACCTCCGAAGCGCGTTCTTTTTGTTCTCCGATCGGAGCATTCCGGAATTCGGTGACACCGGTGCGCTGTAAGATCGTTTTCTGGGTGAAAAGAATAGTATGGAACAACGTTTCCTGATTCTAACGAAACTCTGAATTTTTCGTGTGAAATTCATTTGAATCTGAAAGCATTCTAGAACTCCGTTTCACTCAAAGTATTTTGCTATTTTTAACCATTCACTTGTGTCTGTTATCATTTTAATTAGCATCGTCTTTTACGCGAGTATACCATTTCTTGCTATTGGAAACTGATGCTACCAAACACATTTTACCGGAAACTTTTTGGTTGCATACACGAAAGTGCCGTCATTCATTTCGATACCTACTCATTAAGATTTTTTCAATGAGTTTTGGGGAACTGCGGTTTCAGAGTGAATACTTTAATTATACAGTAGAAGCAATTTTGTCTTCACTTCCGTGTCAAACGTCCATCGCGTGACAGCGTTTAGGAGTCTTCAATAGAGCGAAGAACATGCGAGCGTTTCGGCACGAGTCTACGACGCCGTGGAATCGGGAGAACGATCGCGGGACAATTTGCCACGCGGGGGAAAAATTATTAACGTGTTCTTTATCATCGAAGTCACGCAGGCCTCGGCTTCCAACGGGGGTGGGTTGAGCCCAAGGTAAAAAGAAGCAGGGGAGGCGTTAATACACGATCAGACAGCACGCACGCGTCGTGTAGTGTCGTGTAATGCGATCTACAAATCATACGGCGATACGTTAACCGTATTTATTGGTCGAGACATTTTTCTCTATCGGCGCGACAACGCGGCTCCGACTGACTTACGGCCGCGAGTCAGGGATTCCTTGTCACGCGACTATTTTCGCGGCGCGTATTTTTGCCGCGTGATTTGTCGACCGTGACCATTCTCTTATTGTCCCTTTCATTGTGAGACGCAATGCTTCATTCTTTAAGACTATTGATTTTCAATTGTTTGTACTGGTTCGGTCTGTTGCGCAAAATGTTGCGACGTTATTTTATGCTCTAAGATGTAGAACATTGTAAGGGTGTGAAAGTATGCTTTTATTTATTTATACATTGAGACGGATCAATACATGTAAAACATACACTTTATATTGTAGTATTTTATCAATTAGTTGTTCCAATTAGAAAATACGATTCTTTGTTTAGCGAGTGGTCATGGTAACAGTGTATGAATAATTCGGATCTTTCGTAGGTTACAGATTTAATATGTTCCGTTTTTAACAGGTTTTAAGGAAATTAATTGAAAGATTATTCAATTGAATAACTTCTTCCTTATTTAACCTGTTATATTTGAAGTGTTTATCTGAAAAAATAATGAATTCATCGTTGGAAGAGTTAGTAACACTTCAAACTTTCAGATGTGTATACACGTAAAACGCAGTTAACTGGTTAATAAATGCCATCGCCTTCCAGATGCCATCCAACCGAACCATTTGCGTCTGAGAAACACAAAAATCTTGGGTAGGTTATTAATTAGTAAAATGCCAGCGATCGAGAAATTAATAAACATCGATCAATTAATCGAGCACGATTTGCAGTATTAATTTCGCGCGTGATGCTCGATCGACGGCCCGCCTAATATAGCAATGGAGATCCTTATTAACGGTTTTTATTGGCATTTCGCTACGGTGATCGTGTTATCACGATTAAAGGAAAATGTATTAACCATGAACTTTTGCCGTCCCACTGCTTCGTCTCGATATTCATCGTGTCGTTCGTGAACGCCGCTCCCGCGTCGAGTACCGATGACGACGGTCCGAGTATCGGGTTAATAAAGTCAAGCTGCGGGGCTTCAGATAACCTTTTCCCTTTGTTTGATATAAGGTTGTCGCGTGTTTCATCGTCGAATCAACGATGTCGTTCTGGTAAGTGATCGACGGAACATCGTGCAATTACAAAATGCGTCTGTTTCGTCGTTCAAGTGTTAATTCTTGTACCGTGTTCTTAAACTCAACACGATTCGCTTATAATTAATGATTCAAATTGTGCGAATTATAATGAATACATTATAATATTATTCATACGAAAACGACTTCTCGTTATGAGAACAGCTAAACTACGATTTTTTACATTGGACTTTCATCTCCGAGAAAAATCTTGAATACCTCTTCAGTACGGTTGCCTTTGTTTGACTACGGGTATCGAAACTTTCCATTTTTTGTTTACACAAGACTTCTTTAATGATAGAAATCTTGAAGATGCTTATTATCTGGAAGCTAATTCTAGTGAATTTCATTACATGTAGAACTTTCTGATTTATTGGTATAAAGAGAGGGGATTGTACATTTTACTATATGAATCATTCATTTGCCAAACTGATTGATTGCATGTAACAAAAATTTAAGGAAATTAATAAAGTAAGATAAGTTACCAATCGAATATGTTGTCACCATGTTTTCACAAAATTTAAATAGTTCGATTGACGCGAATCGTCAATTCTTTAACTAATCGAGTGATTCCTGTTTAATCAACTCGAATATAAAGTCGAAAATCAACGATTTCGAAAAATGTGTAGTTTACAAACATGTCATGCTGCGATTTAATTATGTTTACGGCAGTTCCTTTTCTTCCGCGTAACGAGTCTGCGGGTTGCGGGTTGCACCTGCTGTTCGCTTTGAACCTGCGTGCGCAGAGCGTTGCCGGCCGCCTACAAGGTTCCGATCATGTTGGCATCGAGATGATTGGTACTCCGCCGCGTATTTCGACCCGTACACGTGGACAACATTAGCATAACACGATCTAATTGATGTTGGTCGCATTGCACGCCTCGCCGCGGCTAATGTTCGGTTCCTAGACGCGTTTCTCGTACGAATACGCACATTATTGCCGCAAGCTTATGCTCTTTCGAAAATTATTATTCTACAGTTCCTAATCAAACAATTAGGGCCACTCACAGTTTTTCACATTTTTTTACTAATTACAGTACATACTGCAAATCCAAAAGATCATTAGAGAATTTTTTCATCATAGTGTTAAGCCGGAGAGTTAAGCAACTAAATTAAGTTTGAATGAAAATATATCATTGTTGATTTTCTATAAGTTGGTATCAATGGTGGCCCTACCTTTTTATCAGGAACTGTAAACTATTCAGTCAACGCTAAATAAAATTGCTTGCAAGTATAAGAACCTTATTCAATGTTTTTTTCTATCATTTGATATTGTTCAGGCAAACAATTTTCTGACGTATCAATACGAAAAAGAGATAAGTAAAATGAGAAAGTTGGTCTGCTTTCCTACTTTTATAGGTGCACTCAAGAAAATTGAAATAAAATAAATTGCAATATTTGTAAATAGTTTTGTTAAAGAAAAAATAAAATGAAGATGCAGATGTATTATTAAAGACTTGAAGGATTAATCAATAGACTTAGTTAATTCATAGTGATAATCGTATACATTGTGCGAGTATTATTAAGTTCTTCAAATCCTTATCCTTTTCCGTCTTGTTTCTTATTATTATTATCCAAGAGATTTTTGCCGGTACTCGA